TGTTGTTTGGTGTGACTGCGTTTTGTGAGTGCTGCTCGTCTCAAATTGTGTAAGGCAATGTTTTTTTGTTATTAATAAGCTTGCAATCACAAGACCACTACCCCTTTTCGTGTAATTTTTTTCTCTTTCTGGTTAACATGGATCTTTTTTACACCTCGTCACAGTCACAACTGCCCCAATTGAACTGTTTTTCTCAGCTAGATTTTTCTACATATGAATGGTGTAAAAGTCTTGCAATTGCTCGTCGTCCTCATTATATTCAATGGTCACCCAAGCGCTGGTTGATTCAAGACTTCTCCATATTTAATACCTGTGATATGGTCAACTAGAATGAAGTGTCACTATAACATGACTCGCATGTGTTGTCGTTACGATTATTTAACTGCTCCCGTTAGCGACTGAGCGTCCTCCAACTCAAATTCTAAATATCAAACATGTTTTGATAAGGCATTGATAAACACAAATGTCACTTTTTCCCCGTGGAATGCCTCAAGGATCTGTTCTTGGCCCACTTCTATTTTTTATTTACATGCTTCCTCTGGGTCAGATCATTCTGTGCCATGGTCTTACATTTTTAGAGTTACACTGAGGATACACACATTTATTGCATATTTATAGGCCAATTCTATTTTCCTTCCTCTTCTTTAACATGTTGCCTACATGATCTTAAAGTATGGATGGCTCAACATTTCTTTGAATATTGAATACAGAAAAAACAGAACAGTACATTATATGATCTCTGTTTGCTCTATTTGCTTGACCATGTGACTATAGCGTGTCCTTGGGTTCTTGAAAGGCGCTATATTAATGATGTATTATTATTGTTGTTATTATTATTATACTTTAGGTACTATTATGTACCTTTAAAGAACCAATATGCACCCTTTAGGTACGAAGGTGTACCTTTCCAGGTACCGTCCCAGTGACAGCTTTTGTACATTGTTTTCTGAGATTGTTGTAAATCTTTGAGAAATACATTACATGGCCAAAAGAAGACACTATTATCTCTGATTCTATAGCATTTAATAGTAGTATTTAATATGTCTGTATTTTTTTTTTCTTTTCAGTTTTAGTTTAACACATCAAGTTACTAAATGAAAAGTTTCAATGTTGCCTTGACAACTAGCTAAAATAAAATCAGTTGACTACAATAACCCTTCTAATAAATAGGTTTTCTAATTTGAAAGGTAATTCTAATGCCAAAAGAAGCACAACATGTGACAGAATTAGTAGCAGAATTGAAAATACCTTTAGAGCTGTAGAACATGCGGAAGCTGTCAGTGTGATGATGACCGAAGAACTGGCCCTGTATAACAGCGCTGTACTTCTGTATGAGATCTATATAGCGCTTA